TCTTACCAGCCCTCTACTTCTTTTCCATGCTCTCTAGGCTTCCAGATATTTTAAAAAATAATTTTGCTTACATCACTCTACAGAATATTATGAATAACTCAGTGGTCTTCAATTTGGCTGCCCATTTAAAACACCTGGCATTTAAAAAATTACTAATGCCTCTTTCTGATTAATGATCCAGGTGTGGTCTGGGAATCTGGATTTTAAAAGCTCCTTAGGTGATTCTAGTGTTCTTTTAATATCTTTTTATTGGTACATATTAATTATACAGAATATTGGATTTCATTGTTACATATTCATAAATGCATGTAACATAATTTGATCAATTTTATTCTCCAGTACCTCCCTTTTCCCTCCTTTCCTCTCTCCTCCTATCCCCTACCTCTAACTTAATGGTCTCCTTCATAACTTTCATGATATCCCCCCCTTTTTTTTGTTTTCCCTATCTTTCATATATGAGAGAAAACATGTGACACTTTTGTTTCTGAGCCTGATTATTTCACTTAAAATATTACTCTCCAGTTCCATCCATTATCTTGCAAAAGCTACAATTTTGTTCTTTATATTGGAGTAAAACATCATTGTTTTAACATACATCATTTTTTTTTTATCCATGTGTCTGTTGACAGACACCTAGGCTGGTTTCATAGCCTGGCTATTGTGAATTGTACTGCTATATACATGGGAATTCACGTATCTCGAAAGTATACTTTCTTTAATTCTTTTGTTTTTTTGTTTTTTTTTTCTTTTTTCTTTTTTTTTAAATTTTTTTTATTGGTTGTTCAAAACATTACAAAGCTCTTGACATATCATATTTCATATATTAGATTCAAGTGGGTTATGAACTCCCATTTTTACCCCGAATACAGATTGCAGAATCACATGAAATTCATATGGAAAAATAAAAGACCCAGAATAGCAAAAGCAACTCTAAGCAGGAAGTGTGAATCAGGCAGTATAGCGATACCAGATTTCAAACTATATTACAGAACAATAGTAACAAAACCAGCATGGTACTGGTACCAAAACAGGCAGGTGGACCAATGGTACAGAATAGAGGACACAGTGACTAATCCACAAAGTTACAACTATCTTATATTTGATAAAGGGGCTAAAAGCATGCAATGGAGGAAGGATAGCATCTTCAACAAATGGTGTTGGGAAAACTGGAAATCCATATGCAACAAAATGAAACTGAATCCCCTCCTCACGCCATGCACAAAAGTTAACTCAAAATGGATCAAGGAGCTTGATATCAAATCAGAGACTCTGCGTCTGATAGAAGAAAAAGTTGGCTCTGATCTACATATTGTGGGGTCGGGCTCCAAATTCTTTAATTCTTTTGGATAAATACTGAGGAGTGATATAGCTGGATCATATGGTGGTTCATTTTTTCTTTTTTTGAGGAACCACTATACTGGTTTCAATAGTGGCTAATTACAGACCGACCAACAGTATGGAAGAGTTGGTTTTTCTCCGTATCCTCACCAGCATTGATTGTTACTTGTATTCTTGATGATTGCCATTCTGACTAGAGTGGGATAAAATCTCAGTGTAGTTTTGATTTGTATTTCCCTAATGGCTAAAGATGCTGAAAGTTTTTTAAATATAATTATTGGCCATTTGTACTTCTTTTGAGAAGTGTCTGTTTAGTTCATTTGCCAATTTATTGAATGGGATGTATTTTACATGTCAGCCAACATTTCCTTAGGCAATGTTATTTTATTCCTAGAAAACTTTCCTTTTAATTTTCTTTGGAGCCAATAATTATCTTATTTTTATATTTGCTTATTTTTCTATGTTCTAATCCCACATTCAGCACCAAACTCGTCTCATATATTCATGTGTATTAAGTACTCAATTGATTTCGTCTTCTTACTCATGGAACATTGTAACCAGATTTGCCTTGCTTATTTGCTCTCTGAGCTGCTCCAAGTAGTCATCTTAGAATTGCACTCCACCATTTTCCTGGGAGTTTCCTTCTTTTCTCTCTTCTTTTGGAGCCCAGTTTTCTGGATCCTGTACTTCTTTTGTCTTAGTTTAATACCTCATTATGTTAGAGAACCTCTCTTAAAAACTTCCATAGAGAAAATAGTTCATGGAAAGCAAATGTGTAGACTTTTTAAATATGCAGTGTAGCTGGCTATAGAAACATCATTTGGAGATCATTTTTTTCATACTTTTCTTACCTCATTGTCTTCTAATCTCTAACAGTATCACTGAAGTCATTTTGATTTTTTATTTGACATATTTTTTCTCTCTTGAAAACTTGCTCTTTTTATTTAGTTTTTCTGAGATTTCATACTGATGTGATTTGGGAAGGGTCTGTTTTTGTCTATCGATGGGTTCTTTCTATCTGGAAACTATTGATCTTCAGTTATGGAAATATATATTTTAAATAATGATTTTGATAATTTCTTCTCTTTTTCCTTTCTTTCTGAAGCTCCTGTTGGGATCCTAGAAATCTTGGAAAATCTTACATTTTTCTTCTCTTTTCTCTCCTCCATCTCTTTGCTTTGATTCTTGGGGAATTTCTTTAATAATAATTTTAACCCTCCCATTAAAATTTTTAAAACTTCTATCATATGTCTTTTATGTCTGAAAGCTCTGTTAATTCTCTGATATTTCATTGTTTGATAGCATGTTTTCCTTAATTCATGAACAATATATTTTCATTTCTTGTTGAGGAAAATAATATAGTTTTTCTTAAAGTTTTCTTTCCCTCTTTAATCTCCTTTTTTCTAGTTGCTTTTGAAATTTGTATGTGTGTATGTGCGGGGGTGGGGAGAGAAGCTCCTTGGGGCCTTGTTTATAGATAGCTAAGACTTGTTTCTTCAGGATGAACTCTTTTGCGAAGAAACTATATAATATCTGTGTTTTTAGTCATTTGTTGTAGGCTGGTCAGAATTCCTAAAAAAAAAATACTTTTCCAATTGCCTTCTCAGAGGGTGTAAGCCTGTCTTCCATATTTTGAGAGCATTCAGCATGTAAAATTTCTCTTAATGCCACCGTTTTCAATATGGTATACTTATCTCAGCTATGCCTGAAATCTCACAGTCTAAAGAGCCTATATTTTCTCCTTTCCAGTGAATATATTCCAGTATTCTTCCAGGGTAGGACAGGGAGTTTATTTGGCTTTATGGAGTGTAAGAGGAAATCATTTTTTTCCTCACTGAATTTGATTTTGTCTTCTTGTTTTAGCTGTGTTATCTCTTCACTTCAGGAATAACTGGAAAAACAAATTTTAAGCATTTGGAGAATCTGTGTTGTTAAATCAAGTTCCTTCTCTGCAGTTGTTAAAAATGATATATCAGCAACCAATTGTTTACTTTTTAGGTTCCACTATCTGTTTACTGTTTTTATTTTCTCTGTTTCCTTAGAAACTTTGAAATTAAAAATAATCTCCTTATTATTGTTTTAATGAAGTGATCTGACGAACTCAGTAGAAATATATATGTTCTACCTGCCTTCTATAGGTTAATCCTATTATTTTCAGAGAATTCACTTTGTATGATTTCAGTCTTTTTAAATTTGTTTTAATTTTATCTCTAGTAAATAGCATATGCTATTTGTGCTCTTTTATTAGCTACCTTTAAAATTCACCACATATTTGGGCATATTTTTCTGCCACTTCTAGAATCATTTAGCATAACTATTCTCTTAATGCAAATTTTTGAGGCCATAATAAAAGCAGAAATATTTTAATGATAGATTTAAAAATTAATATTACATATGCATATTCATTGTTATTAAATAGATTTAACAATTATTTTCAAAAGATGTTTAGTATTTTATTGAATTATTATAATACAAAATTACATCTACCACTGTCTGTTAATTTCTGTTGCCCTATTATAAGTATTTTTGATTATCTAAATAATTGATTATGATATCCAACGCCATAACTAATATTTTTGTGCCTGTATATATTCTACTGCAGAGTATCAGTTTAGAATAATTGTCTGCATTGGGTTTACAGGACAGTATAACCGTCTCCTTTTAATTATCAAAAATTTCATTTCCATTGGAAATACATTTACTTTTTTAATATTTATTAGTTTTTACTTGTAGTTCGGCATAATACCTTTATTTTATTTATTTTATATGGTACTGAGGATAAAACCCAGGACCTTGCATGTGCTAGGTGAATGCTCTACTGTGCCACAACCCCAGCCCCATGGCAATTCATTTTCTTTTCTTTTCTTTTTTTAAAGAGAGAGAGAGAGAGAGGAGAGAGAGAGAGAGAGAGAGAGAGAAAGAGAAAGAGAGAGAATTTTAATATTTATTTTTCAGTTTTTCAGTAGACACATCTTTATTTTATTTTTATGTGGTGCTCAGGATCGAACCCAGTGCCCCGCACATGCCAGGCGAGCATGTTACCGCTTGAGCCACATCCCCAGCCCCTAGCAATTCATTTTCAATGGAGAATGGAACATTTTTTTTTCATGCACAGTATAAAAAGGGATAGTAGGGACAGTGTTGTCAGTTGGATAAGGTGATAAAGGAGAGTAGGATTGATGATTGACATGTATAAAACAGAGAAGGCCTTAGAATGAAATTCAGGGAGACAAACAATGGAAAGTTTAGTTAGAATGTGTTAAAAATATCAGGGGAATTAAGTAGAAACAGAAGTGAATAGAAAAGGTTAAAAGGTAAATGATGATATCTTTTCTCCATTTATCTGCAGAGGGCAGGTAATAACACTCATGGGAGTTAAACCTGCTGAACTCAGAAAGGTATCATAGCAACTATCATCCCAAGTAGGAAATGATAGTCCAGAGTGTGTATAAACTCAAAGATGAGTTAAATTCTTTAATATGTAAGTTACAAGAGGACATTTTAATGAACTATATAAGATTATTGGCTGAAATAATTTGGGTACTGCATCCCTGCTTATGTTAAGTGCTCAGTATATATCTATTACTGCAAATTGTATAATTTGTTCAAGTTCAGTTGTTAAAAAACATATACATATAGTTTTCTTCATTTCAGATTGACTATAACTTGCAAGAATGAATCAATTGTGGATGGAATTGTATCCTCCAAAAAAGATTGGTTGAAGCCCTAATCATCAGTGCATCAGAATGTAGCCTTATTTGGAAATGGGCAATTGTAGATTTAATATCAATATGATATCATACTAGAGTATGGACTCTTCATCCAACATGACTGGTGTCCTTATGCAAATAAGAGACAAAGGCATAGACAAATGAATGGAGAATACTATGTGACAATGGAAGCAGAGATTGAAGCAGTATAGTTGAAAGTCAAGGATTACCAAGAATTGACAGCTACCACCCGAAGCTAGGAAGAGGCAAGGAAGAATTCTTCTCATTGTCTCAGAGTAAGTATGGTCTTGCTGAATCCTTGATTTCAGACTTATAACTTCAGAACTGTAAAATAATAAATTTGTTTAAAATGGCCATTTAGTTTGTTTTACTTTACTATAGCATTTCCAGGAAACTAATATCAATAATTTTACCAGAGAATTATGATCAATGTTTCATAGCCAAATGGGCCAGCTTCTCTTATATGAGGCAGGAAATAGTCTTTCTCAGGGTGAACATGTTAATGTGACTAGTAAGTCACAACTGTGATAAGTTGTGAAGGATTATCAAATAGGTAACTTCAAGAAGGAAAATTATAGAAAGATATCTTGGCAATATATTACAAAGATTCTCCAATGCCTAATTAAGGAGTTTCAGTTGATTTTTATGAAATTGGGGATTGAATTGTCAGAGGTTATTCAAATAGACAGAATTGAAGTAATTAAAGTAATGAATTCAGAAAATTAATTTGGCATGTAGTTGTTTAGCAAATATTTACTGGGGCTATTTTTTGTATAAGCAAACGGGAGAGTAATAGGACTGAAGACATGGAAATTAGTTAAAAGGTTATTGTTGCAGTGTAACTATGATATTATATGTGCTTAGACTGACTGACATAGTAGGAGTAGAAAAGAAAAAATAAAGTGGTTTGAAGAAGATCTGAGAGAGTTGTATTTTTTATTTATTTTTTAAAAATACATGACAGCAGAATGCATTACAATTCTTATTACATGTATAGAGCACAATTTTTCATATCTTTGTATATAAAGTATGTTCACACCAATTCATGTCTTTATACATGTACTTTGTTTTTTTTGCATTACAATTCTTATTACATATATATACTACAATTTTTCATATCTCTGTTTGTATATAAAATAGGTTGACCCCCAATTCGTGTCTTTATACATGTACTTTGGATAATGATGTCCATAACATTATCATTATCATTATCAGTTGTATTTTTAATTGCATAGGAAAGATATGAAGATAAGGATTACTCCAAAGTTTAGCATTTGAGCAAATTTAAGGATGGCATTCATGAAAAAATGGAGGAGGCAAGAGAAGAAGCTGATTCAGGGATTAAGGTAATAATTTTCTATTATGCTAATTTGAAGTAATGGTAGGATAGGGAAGAGAATAATTGCTATGGTGTGAATATGGATTGTCTCCTTTGAAATTCATATTGAAATTTGCTTTCTATTGTGGTATTTGGAGATAGGCCTTTATAAGATGATTAGGTCATTAAGAGGAATCCATGCCTTTCTTGTGGAATTGGCTTAATACCCAAAGAAATGAGTGAGTTCTCACTCAGGACTGGATTAGTTACTGAGAGTAGGTTGTTATAAAGCAAAGATGCCCCCTTGTGTTTTGTCTCTTCTTTACATTCTCAATTGCCCTTCCATCTTTCCACGAATTTATGATGTATCATGAGGCCTCAGATGTGCCCCTTCCTCACATCTAGGACTTACTTGGCTCCAGAACTGATAAATAACTCCAGCCAAGATAAATCTCTTTCCTTTACAAACTACTCAGTCTCAATTATTCTGTTATAGCAACATAACACAAAGACAATAAGGTTAATTCATAGCCCCCCAAAGGGAAGTAATGGTTGAAGTCATGAAAATTGACCAGATCTTTGAGGGAAAATGATATCAGAAAAAAGCAGTGGGGTACATCTTGCAGAGTGATCATGATTAAATTCAAATTATATATAATTCCCAATTTTACAGTTTTTAATCATAACCCATCTTTGAGAGTTCTTGCCAGACTGAAAGCTCACACTGATTTCCTTTTTAGACAAAACTGTGTCTCTGTTTCATACTATTCTGAAGTCACATTGCACATTTTTTTTTGGTTATCAGTGCATCATTTTGTAAAAGGGCAGACTGATATTTGTGGTTTGATGTTTAGCACCCTTCATGTTCTAGAAACTTTAGGTCCCTGAAATTAGGGAATTTATCATACTTAATTTTCTATCTTGAGTATTCAGCATAACAACTCACTACAGAGTAGGTGGTTAATATATGTTTCTCACACAAATGAATTTTGGAGATACTGTAAAATTAAAGATATAAAATGAATCAAAATACTGAATAGAACAGTGCAGTATTTCATTCAATCATCTGGTTTTCCATTCTGTTGAACCATAGATTTTATCAAGTAAAAACCAGAGGGTTAAAAGCACAAAGAACATTAAACAGGGATGAGAGGTGGGAGGGAAAGGGAGAGAGAAGGGAAATTGCATGGAAATGGAAGGAGACCCTCAGAGTTATACAAAAGTACATACAAGAGGAAGTGAGGGGAAAGGGAAAAATAATACAAGGGGGACAAATGAATGTCAGTAGAGGGGGCAGAGAGAGAAGAGGGGAGGGGAGGGGAGGGGAGGGTGGATAGTAGAGGATAGGAAAGGCAGCAGAACACAACAGACACTAGTATGGCAATATGTAAATCAATGGATGTGTGACTGATGTGATTCTGCAATCTGTATATGGGGTAAAAAATGGGAGCTCATAACCCACTTGAATCAAAGTGTGAAATATGATATATCAAGAACTATGTAATGTTTTGAACAGCCAACAATAAAAAATTTAAAAAAAAGGATGAAGCACAAAATATGCATTGCAGCACAATGTATTGGCAGATCTATAGGACATGACTTTATTATGTACTTAGTTTCCAACAGGAATTATGCAAGACACAGCACACTAATAGGAAAAATCACTGTCTTCAGTCAACCCATTCATGTTGCCTATGATTCCAGCCACAAGGACTCCCTCTTTTGTGTCTATATTCTGTCCCTGGCTTGCATCCTTCCTGGATTGATGACAGGTCCTGTCTCTCATCTTAATAAATGTGTTCTCTACATAAGTTAGAGAAAGTCATCTTCTGTTTTTATCTGAGAATTTTGCTTGAGGTAGGCATCCTGATAGGTTTTAAGGCAAAATCTACCTGTCTCAAGTACTAGACCTGAGGTGCAATGTAGAGATTATTCATAAGAGAGAGAAATTTTGTCAACTCATTGCTATATAATAAACAATATATAGCAAAATGTATTGCAGCACATATGTTGATAAAAAATGTATGAATAAATGTGTGGGTGAAGAAATGAATAAATGAATTACCAGAGGGAAAAAAAAAGCACAAAGAAGGTTAAAAATGCATCTCTATTTTTAGAAAATAGCCATTGTATAATATCAGCCATCCTATCTGTTAAACCCTAAGTTTTGAAATCAGTAGTCAAAATTCCTCTTCAGTCTCCAAAATTACCTGCTGTAATGTTTCCTTGAGCTTGTATACATTTGTTTTACTTTTCTGTTTTTCAACAAAGTTAAGGAGACCTTTTTTCCCCCTGGCACTTAAACCATGAAAGAGACAAGGACAAATTGGGCCCTTTTACAAGCTTGCAGACTGCCCTGCTCTAGGCAGCAGCAGGAAACATCAGGTAGCCTGATTGAATTAGTTTCTTCTATGCACCAGCTGGCATCATATTCCACATCTTGAAATTCCCAGGGTTCATTTATCTTCACAATTTCTTACTTGACAATGAAAAGAGGAGTACCAAGCTGATTCTGCATTTAATGTACCATAACGCCAATCTTGATGCATTGTTTTATGAATTATAACTAAAAGAGCTCATACAATATTTGACAAAAAGACAATTTCCTACTTGTTTGTGAAAATAGTTAATCATAAGAGTTAGAAGTAGAACAAGCTATTTCCTTTTTCTAAGTTAAATACGATTTTGTGATTAAGGTACAGAGAATTGGAATCAGAATTCAAGACAGATCTCAGTCATTGATTGAAAAATACTAGAAGAAGGTTGAATTTATCTGCATTTTTCATTATCACATGTAAGCAACAGTGGCAAAATCGCATTATTTAATAAACTTTCTTTGAGTACTTCATTGTAAATCCATGGTTTGGATTTAAATTTACTTTTGGTAATTATAATGAAATTTTGGGATTATAATTATAGTATTGTTTTTCTTCTCTCAAATATATCCTGTTAAAAACGTAAATCATAACTGGTACATCTGAATTATGTTGGTGGACCATCATCTTATTATACTTCATTTTAATTGAATGTCATTTTTTGGACTTCTGTAAATTAACAGCCCTTAACTTGGAATGAGGAGATTCATATTTGGGTTATTGTCACATCAGCAACTAGTTCAATGAAATTGGGCAAGGAGTTAAGAGGGCTTTGGCTATGGTGATTTATGAGTTATCTTTTTGTTCTAAAGTCACATGTCCTATGGTGGAAAGTATCTTTATGGACTTTTAATTTTTTTTTGCAGTTGTAGATAGACACAATATCTTTATTTTATTTATTTATTTTATGTGGTGCTAAGGATCGAACCCAGGGCCTCACACACACCAGGTGAGTGCTCTGCTGCTGAGCCACAACCCCAGCCTCTTTGTGGACCTTTTATGGAGAATGAATAGAAATTTAAAAAGAGAATAAAATAAGTGAAGTGAAACTAAAGGTCAAAGTGGAGAGAGAAGAGAGATCCCTTTCTGGGATACCCTTGTCATTCCACCCATTCTTATTCAGGTTATAATGAACTAATGTTGGGAGAGTTCCAGAGACTTCAAAACTGTCATGATTTTTATATTTTGAATATGTAATTTTCTGTTAATTCAAGAATGCAATCATAATCAAAATTACTCTTTCATCTCACTCCAGTCAGAATGGCAATTATCAAGAATACAACCAACAATAAGTGTTGGCGAGGATGTGGGGGAAAAGCACACTCACACACTGCTGGTGGGACAACAAATTGGTGCAACCACTATGGAAAGCAGTATGGAGATTCCTCAGAAAACTGGGAATGGAACCACCATTTGACCCAGCTATCCCAGTCCTTGGTCTATACCCAAAGGACTTAAAATCAGCATACTACAGTGACATAGCCACATCATTGTTTATAGCAGCTCAATTCACAATAGCTAAACTATGGAACCAACTTAGATGCCCTTCATCAGATGAATGGATAAAGAAAATGTGGTATATATACAGAATGAAGTATTATTCAGCCATAAAGAAGAATGAAATTATGGCTTTTGCAGGTAAACGGATGGAGCTAGAGAATATCATACTAAGTGAAATAAACCAAACCTGAAAAACCAAAGGCCAAATGTTTTCTCTGATAAGTGGATGCTGATCCATAATGGGGGGGGGTGTCCAGAAGAATGGGAGAACTTTGGATTAGGTAGAGGGGAGTGAAGGGAGGGGAGGGGATGTGGGGGTGGGAAGGATGGTGGGATGAGATGGACGTCATTACCCTATATACATGTATGATCACACTACTAATGTGACTCTGCATCATGTACAACCAGAGGAATAAGAAGTTGTGCTCCATTTGTGTGCAATGTGTCAAAATACATTCTGCTGTCATGTGTAACTAATTAGAACAAATTTAAAAAGCACTAAAAATGCAATCATAGCTATATCTATAAAGGCAACCCTTTCAGAATCTGCAAAGAACATTTTTTTTCATATTTACTGGCTATTCATATTTCTTCTTTTGAGAAGTGTCTGTTTAGGTATTTTGTCTATTAATTAAGTAGGTTGTTTGGGTTTTTTGGTGTTATTTTTTGAGTTCGTTTTATATTTTGGATATTAATCCTTTATTTGAGGAGCAGGTGGCAAACCATCCTCTCCCATTCTGTAGGCTCTCTTCATCCCTCTTAATGTTTTTTTTCTCCCTGTGCAAAAGCTTTTAATTTGTTTCTGTCCTACTTATTGATTCTTGTTTTTACTTCTTGCTCTTTAGGACTCTTGTTAAGGAATTTGATGCCTGTGCCATTGTTGGAATGTTAAGCCTGTTTTTTTCTAATAAATGCAGAGTTTCTGGTCTAATTCCTAGGTCTTTGATCCACTTTGAGTTACTTTTTCACCTTCATGTATGTATACATAAAACACTAATTTAAAAGACCATAAATAAATAGAAGACCAGTAGAGTAGGGGAAGGGGACATACTGGAGACTGAAGTTGAGCAAATCATACATTGGTATGATTATGTGAAAATGAACCCCAATATTATTTATACTTATAATGCACTAATTAAAAAAGAATCTAAAGGAATAAGCATTTGGAAATGTATCTTGAAAAGTCTGTTGAAATTGTTTTCATATTCAAAATTTCACTTGATCTTCATTTTAGAATAGAACAATTGTTGTTAGAATGAACAAGAAAAAAATTTTCTCCCTTATTTATGTCACTGTAATTAAAGTGCATTCTCCCTATGTGGCAAACTCACTGAAAATATTTAAGATGCACTAGACAATAGTGTTTAATCATCAATATGGTTTCCAAAGTACTCACCATCTTCAGTAGCTAAAGGAGAAAACATTCTAGCAGATACTGTTGCTATAATTGAATATGGTTTGTCCCCCCCCCAAAATAATTTTGAGCCTTAATTCTTCACTATTGGCAATGATGGGAGATAGGTCTCATGGGAGGTATTTGGATTATTTGGCAGAGTCCTCATGAGTGGGTGAATACCTTTCTTATGAGAATAGGTTAACTCTTTTGTGACTTTAGCTTCCCTTTCTCTTTTCGTCATGTGCCCACTTACCCTTCCATTTCATGCCACAGTTGAAACAGTACAAGACCCTCATCCAAAGCCAAGCAGATCCTGACACTATCCTCTTAGACTTCCCAATGTCCAGAACTATGAAAAAATTCTCTTTTTTAAATTACTTAGCCTTAGGTAATTCTATTATAGAAATAGAGAAGAAACTAAGCCAACTCACAAGATTTTTTATCATCATAGTCATGACAGGGGTCAGAAATCCTTGAATTATTATTATGGGATGATACTCAACACGAAATGAGCAGGGGTTAATTATCATAGCATAAAATCTTGGGTTGATTTCACTTTATTCATTGAAGTAAATAACTTAAGAGAACTTAAATGTCATAGTGACTTATCATGCATCCAACATTGAAGATTTGATAGCTTCAACATGCAGGGTGAGCCCCTCCATTTAGTGGCTGAATCCTATAGGTGCTAAGATCTAGGAAAATGCTTGGCTTTTATGTAATGGTAGCTAACCAAGCTTCTTTATGGCTCCAATACAGGTGGCAAGCTCTTCATTTCAGTGCACTTCTCCCTTCTCCTCATGTATGACATCATTGACTTTTATGAATAACTACCATATCATCCAATTCTCAGTAGGCAGTGAGCATGGCAAAAAAAAAAATAATAACAAACCCAATTAAGGAGTGAATACTGGACAATGGACTAGGTTTACTTAATAATTTTTTAAAGAGTATACTCTTTTTTTAATTCATTTTATTTTAAAATTTATTTTTATGTGGTGCTGAGGATAGAACCCAGGGCCACGCACATGTGAGGTGAGCACTCTACCGCTGAGGCACAACCCCAGCCCCAGGTTCACTTAATAATTAAGTTACACTTTTGCATACTAGCTGGTATTCAGTTTAAATATGTAATTTATGGCAACTATGAATAATTATATATCATAGCTATTTGGGGGTCTCTTATGTGGAAGTGTTGAAATTATTGATTTAAAATCTGGGAATGTCAATAGAGTTTATGGAGTTTGTACATCTTGAGTGCCGAAAAGAAAAGAAAGAAAATTTCTTTCCATAGTCATATCATTACTTTAGATGCCACATGTTATTTGGCTCAGAGAAACAAATGGATTTTCATCTTGTTTGGGAAGTTTATGTTTTCTACTTTATATATCCTGGAGACCCGTACATGTCTATGTTTTTTAATCTCTTTAGGTGTCAATGGGTCTGATTTCAGAACTAGATGAATCTTATGTGGTCTCTTGTCACTGCCACTTATTAGATGTCTGACTTTGGGCAGGTTACTGGACCTTTATAAACCTCTTTAGCTGAATCATTTCATATCTTACCCATAAGGATGGTATAAAGACTTAATAAATAAAGTAATGTGCAACATAGAGCATGGTATAAGTTAGGTGCTCAACAAATACTGGTTTCTTTCTCCCTGCTTTTCATTTTGCTAAGTAGGATTATAATTCACTGTTATGGTTTAGATATGAGGTGTTCCTCAAAAGGTCTTGTGTGAGACAATGCAAGAAGGTTTACAGGTGAAATGATTGAGTTATGAGAGCCTTAACCCAATCAGTGAATTGATCTCTTGATATGGATTAACTGAGTGGTAACTGTAGGCAGGTAGGGTGTAGCTGAAGGAGGTGGGTCCCTGGGAGCATGCCTTTGCGGGTATATGTTTTGTCCTTGTTGAGCAGAGCTCTCTCTCTGCTTCCTGAACCAGGTCCCCAAATGTTTTCTTCTGCCACACCCTTCCGCCAGGAAATTCTGCCTTGCCTCAGACCCTAAAGAATGGAGTTAGCCATCTATGTACTGAGACCTCTGAAACCTTGAGCCCAGAATAAGATTCTTCAGCTATAATTGTTCTCCTCAGGTCTTTTGATAGCAGTGACAAAAAAGCTAACTAAAACACTCACCAATATCATGAACATTTTGGAGAGAATTTTAAATATTGCTAAATATGAACATCCCTTTTCAAAGTTCCAGCATTCCTTTCATCTGAACAGGGGTCTGTGTTATTTCTATGTATCTATAGTAAAGATGTGTGTGTGTGTGTGTGTGTGTGTGTGTACTGCAAATATTGATGAAAAGTTAAATAGGTGCAGGTCATACCCCATTTATTTATGATCCATGAATTGACTCTAAACCAATAACTCCCATTGAACCAATTCTATATGTCTACAGAAGTAGAGAATTGGGATCAGAACTTGGGAAATTCAGGTAAGAAATAATTTTTTCTTGTACATCAAGCTTTCAGGTTAGCATCGTATTTATAAAATGTTCTTTCACACAAGTATAAAGTTTAAAGTAGGAGTAAAGAAGATATACTTCCTTTAAACTTTGTAAATAGCAAAGATGGGATTAAAAAACTGTTATTGCAGCTCCAGTGTTTCATGTACTGTGAAAAATGGAGCGCAGAGAAAACACATTTATGTCAATCATCAGGAAGAGAGTTTTGAGGCTGAATTATCCAGATAATTGCCCTAATTTTTCATCCTGGCCTGTGAGTGTTTCCTTTTCTACTAGCCTTACACAGTTTTGCCTTTTTTCTTTGTCCTCATCATTTTGCACTTCCTGACATCCTCTGTGTCAACCGGCCATGTTATTGACTTCTATTTTTGTTGAGGTCACTTCTTTAGGAGCATCTCTTCAGCTTCCGATTGCCCTTAGTAGTGATGAATTTGAATAAAAATGTATGACAGATGCTATTGAGATGGGGGAAGGGTTTGCTGGTGGAGAGGTGAATCATAATGTGAAAGCTGTATAACTCAATCCCCCAAACACCCACTCCAATTTTGGCTCTTTGACAATGCTGTCTTTTTGAGAAAGAAGAACAGTTTGATCTGAATTCTTATTAGGTTCTGAGCCACCAAATTAGAATCTAATAAGCTCATTTGGAAGGGTTTTGAATTAGCTTAAAACAGACCCACGCTGAGCTCATAGAGGAGACCCTCCTACTCTTTCCAGGCAACCTGTAGTTTGTAGACTTAATTTTCAAAGTCTCTTCTTTTGTCTTCTTCTTTGTCTCTTTTTTTTCTCATTTTATACTTGTGCTCTCTTCTTTTGAACTGATTACCTTTAGCTATATCTTACATGTTAGGGTGACTTGTAATAGACCTTATTTGTAATATTTTTTAAAGAAAATTGTACATTTAGACAGAGAAAAGACATTTTTTCTTCAATATGAGAAAAATAGCTTCTGGAATCTTCTAGTTTGGTATCCTTTAAGTAGTTTTAGCTACTTCCTTTGAATAAAGAATATTTTAGCATACATAAAAGGTCACCAGTTACTAAATAATAGCATTATATTGCTTCTAGATGCAAGCAAATATAAAATTATTTAGGGAAACAAGAGTCCAAGGAGACTTAGATGGTTGGGAAGGGAAGAAATAATGTTAGTCAGCTTGTTGGATCTCTGAGGAAATGAACAGGGAAGAGCACTAGGA